GTCTGAATGCAGATTGAAGCATACTTTTTCTTTACTTTCTTTATTTTTCTTGGGGGTTTTTTGGTCCGTTTTTTCTTTCACAGCATGACTTATATGGAAATGTGTTTTGCATGACTACACATGTATAACCTATGTCAAATTGCTTGCTTTCTCAATAAGAGGGGGGAAGGGAGGGAGGGAGAGGATTTGGAACCAAAATTTGAAGGGGAAAAGAATATTAAAATTATTTTTACATATAGTTGGGGAAAATGAAATAGTTAATTTTAAAAAAGGGTTTCTGTTCAGTCATCTAGGTCAAACATTTGAGTTAACATTTTCTCTATTGAAACTACGTGAATATTAGCGATGATATCCAAATATCAAAATCAAAAAATGTACATAAAATTTAGGGAGTTGCAAGGTTCGGGTTTAGAGACCCAATTGTCATAGGTCAACCTTGCTATAGTCACATTTCACATGATATAGTTTTGATTTCATGTATTTAATAGATTAGGGAAGTGATTTGGTTTCCATATCTAGATGATATACATATGTGCATTTTCTAGACCCCCTAAAGGGACCTTAAACTTCAGACAAACTAGAAATGGCAGCTGAGTTTCAGCTGTGTATTTCAAAGGTTTGTCGAACTACAGGCAGCTCTCAATTATTTGCATTAATGAAGAGTAACAGTGGTGTGGCTCCCCAGCTTGCATCTACTCCACTTTGATCATTGGGTTTTTACTGATTATGGTCAAATACACAATAATGCACTTAAACACAAGCAGACACTGATGTCACCAACCTGAGGCTGCAATGGTTTGATTTGGGTTTCAAAGATCCCCAGATGAAAGCAATTAAGCAGAATAAGTATTCATATCAATGTCCATTTGGAAAGCAAGATTTGAGTTGTGGAGAATCTAAGTTCAGGTAATGGAGAACTGACCACACCAGGACACCAATGGGTGTGGCATGGTTGAGGAAATCTGATCCAAGTCTTTTTTAGCCTTTCTTCTCTTTCTTTCCATCTTCTTTTTAATTGATCTTTTGTTTTTATATTCTCTTCATTTTTAAATCTCTGCATCCCTTGCCACCCCTACCCAGTCAACTATACCTTATAACAAAGAATTAAAAAAGAGGAAAAAAAAGCAGTTCAGCAAAGCCAACTGACATATAGACCCCATCTGCCAGTATATGCACAGAGTCCCGCACTGGTGCAAAGAAAAGAGGGAGATGTATTTTCTCATTTCTTCTTGAAATCTAAGTTTGATCATTATAATTACACAGCCCTCATTTTCATTTTGTTGTTCTTTCTGTCTAGACTGTCATTGTCTTTGTATACACTGCTTTCCTAGTTCCTCTTCCTTAATTCTGCATCAGTTCATCTAAGTCTCCCCAAGCTTCCCTGAATTATTCACATTTGTCATTTCTGACAATATGGTAATATTCTATTACCTCCATGGACCACAATTCAGTTAGCCATTCCCCAATTGATGGGCATCTATTTTGTTTTTAGTTCTGTGAATCTTTTGGTGAGTATTGCAGAGATGAGGTTCCTAGGGGGTGTAAGGGTAGAATGCTGCATGTACTGGCAGATAAGGTTGATGGTGAGTTTTCCTAAATTGGTTTTTCTTTTTCTTTTTAAATACTTGTTACAACAGAAGGCTCAGTAGATAGGTGATGGGAGGACAGTACATTTGGAAATGAATGTGATGTAAAAACAAAAAAAAAAGTATGAAAAATGTGATTCTTAACATTTTTGTTTCAAGCAGTTGATGACAGAATTGGATTTTGCTGATGTTAATCCAATTTAACCATTAATATCTTATACATACAAATTTTAAAACTAGATTCTCCACCTGTGTTGTCCAGTAGAGAATTTGTAAGAATTCACATGCAAAGCTTAATAGCTTTGAAGCATCTTCACATTTGTCAATTAATCACATCATAAGCTAAAGATTTGACTGAGAAGTGGGGTTTAAAAAGGCATCTGAATTCTTTCAGATATGCTGACATTATGTAAAACAAATATCTGAGTAACTAAAATGTTCACTTTCCAGTGGGATGCCCAGGCATAATATAGGCATGGCCTCTCTTTAGGTGCCAAAGCAAAAGCACTCTATACATTTTAGATAAAAAGATATCAGTTATATATACCATATTGATGGTATACACTATTCCAGTTGCTATGTTTAACTTACTGCTTGGGAGTACGAAGATCGAGAACTTTTTCGTGGATATCCAGAGTGATGTCAGAAGACTTGGTTCCTGGCAATTTAATTTTAACCTGAAAGAGAAAATGAGCATGTTTCCTTAATTTGAGAGTTTTAGAGCTTTCCAGGTGAGGAACTTAGGTGGGTCTCTTCCCTTTAGGGATTGTGGGACTACTTATCTAGGATTGGGCTTAAGTTTAAGGGAGGAGGGAGACTGCAGAGAAACTAGATTAGTTGGTAAAACCAATTGCAATAATTTGGAATTAGGTGAAAAAAGCTACTAAAATGTCTATATCCTTTGATCCAAAGAGTCCATACTAGGTAGAACCCCAAGGAGTTCAAGAATAGAAAGAAAGTCCTCATATACATCAAAATATTTGTATCAGCACTTGTGGTAGCAAAGGACTAGAAATAAAGTAAGTACTCATTGATTTGTCGTTGTTCAATCATTTCAGTTGTGTTCAATTCTCTGCGACCCCATTTGGGTATTTCTTGGCAAAGATACTGGAGTAGTTGGCCATTTCCTTCTCCAGCTCATTTTACAGATGAGGAAACTGACTCAGGGCTGGGCACTCTATGCACTATGGCGCCACCTAGCTGCCTTGCTCACTGATTGGGGGATGGCTCTGGTCCATGAATGTGAAATGATAAATATGAAGACTACAGAATGAAGTAAGAAGAACCAGAAAAACAATATACACAATAATTACAACCATGTAAATGGAAGAGATGGCAACAATAATTGAAACTGAATCTGTGAAATTATAATGACCAAGTTTGGCCCCAAAGAAGAGATAGAAGACATCTGCCCCCTCTTTCCCTCCCTCCTTTGCAGAGGTAAAGGACTATGAGTATGGAATACTATAGATAATGTCAAAGTTTTTCAAAGTGTTGGTTAGTCTTGCTGAACATTTTTTTTCTTCTTTTTTCTTTCTGGTTCCAAGAGAAGGCTCTCTGGGAGGGGGAGGAGGAAAAAATGCATTTCAAAATGTAGGTAATATAAAAACAAAAGATATCATTAAAAATTTATTTCACACCAAAAATCCAACTGAAAAAATGACTGAAAACCAAGAACTTAGAGCTAACTAATTCTCTCCTCTGGTGTAACTACAATTAAAAAACTCTCCCATCTGAGGCAATTAAAGTTACAAGTTGAAAATGTGGTTTTAGGGTGGTTTTTTGGGGGGGGGAACAGGGAAGGTGGAGGAGGAAGCAAATTAACTCTGATGGGGCCACATTGTTATCTTACAAGGTAGTTCTTTCCTTAATAGAAAGTCTTAACAAAAACCACCTCTTGAAATATAATGAGGAAGGCTATTAGAGACTTACCCTTAATATATGGAAAGTAGAGACAGCTGCCAAATGAGCCCTATCTGATTGTACCCAGGATCTGACCAGGCCCATAACCGCAAATAGCTTAATAGGATTGACCAACCAATTTAAGGGATTAAAGTTACTCTCTCTGCATTAAGATGCAAACTGAATAACTTCTTTTAATGGGAGGCTGGGTGAACCAAGGAGAACAGGCTGAAATATCAAGCGGGAAATTTCCAAGCTTTTTATCTCAACTTTCTGAATAGTTAATCCACAAAAGGAAGAATATACTAAGTCAGAGTACAGTATCTGACCCTGAGTCTGCATTAGCCCTGGGACCTTGTGCTTGCCACAGGCCTAAAGCAGGAAGCCCTTCAGATACCGCTAACTGTGGCTCTTCTCCATAGCCAAAGGGAAAGGGGCCAAGTGAAATTGTGGAGGTGAGAGAAGCCATAGAGCTGGGTCACCAGTTGCAGGACTGAAGCTGACCGGAAATGATCCCAGTCAGACAAAGGAGGAAAGGAGACAGCCAAGATCCAGGTATAAAGCCAGACAGAGTCAATATGTTGAGAGAATCACAAAGTAAATGGGGACAAATACATGATCCGGGCTGATAAGGGTCAGACAGCTCAGGGAGTCAACCTGGAAAGGACAAGGGCCCAAAGCTAGCTTGGGCACATAGCCTAGAAGTGCTAAATCTCATCATCCTAGAAGTTCTGGAGCAACAAGGAATTCTAGCACCAGAAATGTCTATAGAGATTGTTTGATCCACACCTCTCATTTTACAGAATAAAAAAACCCAAAAAACCAAACCTGAGGCTCAGAGAATTTCAGCACCTTGTTCAAGGTCACAAATACTAGCTCATGGTCAAGTGAGGACTAGAATCCAGTTCTCCCGATGCTCAAGCCAGTTCTCTTTCCACCATATTATGCTCCTCTATTTTTATACTTTGTTATCATAATCGATCAGTGTGGGTACTTGGCCAGTAGAGATCAAAGCCCTTCCCTGATGTCTCATCCTAGACAAATCTTGCCTAGCTCTTTCTCTGAATCCTCTATAGAACATCTGCCCAATGCACCAGACACCTTCTTCTGGGTCTTTTCATATTTTGGGGTTACCAGTGAATCTCTTCAAATGTGAGAAAGAATCATAAAATGGACAAGACCCAGAGGTTGTGGCAGTAGATACAGTGGTTTAGGGCAGTTTTTATGTTTAAAAGCAAGTTTTTAATGGAGTTGATTTCTACCAGATCAAATGAGAAACTTACCAATTTTTTTTTCATCTCTTAATAACATAAAAGAAGTCATCTAGGGAAGGGGACAAGGCTTTATATAGCACCCACTATGGGTCAGGCACTGTGCTAAGTGCTTTACATGTTATCTCATTTGATTCTCACAACCTTGTGAGGCAGGTGCTATTATGCAGCAGGCAAATGCCCCAATACCGGTGAGTTAACATGCTCAGGATGATGATGACAACAACAATGATTACTACTGCTGCTGCTACAACGATGACAATGACTACTACTACTACTACTACTACTACTACTACTACTACTACTACTACTACTAGGATTTATAGAGTACTTTAAAGTTTGCAAAACACTTTCTAAATATTATCACATTTGATCCTCACAACAACCCTGTGAGGTAGGTGCTATTATTATCCCCATTTTGTATATGAAGAAACTGAGGCAAACAGAGGTTAAGCGAATTGCCCAGGGTCACAAGTGTCTGAAGTCATATTTGAACTCAGGTCTTCCTGACTCCAGGCCCAGAGCACTATCCACTGTGCCACCCAGCTGACTGAAATAGGGATCAGCAAAGGCAATATCACCTGATAAAGTATAAAACTGGGACCATCTACAAGCAAAAACATTTTCTCCTAATCACTCCTTTGTCTACATGTATACAAATGGAACCCTAAAATTTGGAACAGGCCCAAGAACTGATTCCTAGGAAAGAAGAAAAAAGGGAATAGAGGTTTATGGCCGCTAGGTGGCGCCACAGTGCAGAGAACATTGGTCAGGAAGACCTGAGTTCAAATTCTACCTCAGATAATTACTAGCTGTGTCAGACTGGGCAAGTCACGAACCCCTGTCTACCTCAGTTTCCTCATCATCTGTAAAATGAGGGCAATAATAGCAGCTACTTCCCAAAGATGTTGTGAGGATCAAATGAGATAATATTTATAAAGCTCTTAGCACAGTGCCTGGAACATAGTAGGAGCTTAACAAATGCTTGCTTCCTTCCTTTAATTAAATAATAAAAATGAATTTCTTTCATCTCTTTTTTTAAATAGTTTTTTAAGTGATTGCAATAGTATGGTAAAAGAAGTGAACAAATGTTAACTCTGACATGAAAATAGGTAAGTAGCTCATCCATTAAGCAGTTAAGCCAGACAGTTTTAGTTATCTAAGGTGAGCTTCCACTAATATTCTCCTCTGATGCTTTGTTGTAATGTGACGGGGACCCTGGCTTCTCAAAGTCTATGCCAGCAGCACACAATATCTAGTAGGTCCTATTTTTGTTGTTGCTGTTCAGCTGTTTCCAGTTGTGTCCTATTCTCTGTGACCCCATTTGGGGTTTTCTTGGCAGAAATACTGGAGTGGTATGCGATTTCCTTCCTCAGCAAATTTTACAGACAAGGAAACTGAGGCAAACAGGGTGAGGTGACTTGCCCAGGGTCTCACAGCTAGGAAGTATCTGAGGCCTGATATGAACTCAGGTCTTCCTGACTTCATGCCCAGTGCTTTATCCACTGCAGCATCACCTACCTGCCTTAGTGGCTCCTATACTAAAGTGGAAAGGCTTCAAGCTGGCATTAGGCAATAAATGATATGTTTGTTGGACCAAGGGCTACCCTCACTAAGTGTGTCGGAGGTTCAGCACTTAGCAATGGCTTGTTTTTTTCTCTCTCATGGCAATACCCAAAGACCATCTGCTACAGCAAAGAGGGCTACATCACGCACCTGCATACACCCACCATGTACCTATCTGCACTAAGGAAATCACAAATCCTGACACATTCTTTAAAGCACCAAGAGCTCCACTGCTCCTGTCAGTGGTTTACGGTTGGATCCCATACAACTTGATGTTAATAAATAACAGACATGGGCTCCTCACTTGACCTCAAAGCACAGATTATAAACTAGGCCTTGCTTGACAGATATTCAAGTAGTGGCTCTGGAGTCAGAGGACTTGGCTTCTAACCTCTGACACTTAGGACCTTGGAAAATCATTTAACTTCTCAGACTCAGTTTCCTCCGCTGTAAAACGAGGGGCTTGAACAAGCTGACCCCTGAGGTCCCTTCCAGTTCTAGACCTAGGTGTGACCTGGGGCAAATCACTCCCCCCCACCTCAGTTTCCTCCTCTGTAAAATAAGAGGGCTGGACCAGAAGGCTTCTGAGGGCCCTGCGTGTTCTAGGTACGTGATACTATGAGCTTTGCAGGCACAGCAGAGCATTTAAGCACCAGTAACCATCTACCAATTTAGAATGGTACATGCCTAAGCTGGGACATGCAAACCCAGACCTCCTGCCTCTTGCCTCAATAAGCCCATCTCCGACATGGACCTTGTCTCTCCCAAGTGTCAAGCCACAAAAAATCATTTCCTCCTGGCACCAGCCAGGGTTCTAGCATGAACATCAGCACTCACTAGAGAAAGATTCCTTGCAGTGAGTCTGAAATAGACCTCACCCAGGTCAGGATGAGGTTTCTCAAATGATTACCTGGCAAATATGCAAACAGCACAGATTT